AGTACTCAGACTTCAGTGTCTTCCCGCTCCAGGGAATGGCCCTGTGAAAGTTTATGGTCCCCTTGGTAGTTGGGAGAAGCTGGAGGAGAGAACAACAGAGGAGGCAGTGCACAGCGCCTCCACCTGTCTGACTCATTGCGTTCACGGGGAAAGTGCTTTGACGTTGACAGCAGGGAAACAGTTTTCTAAAAGTCCCTGTCCTCAAGTGCCCCTTTTAGAAGACCCTGCTCCAGAGGGTGTTCAGTTTGAGGCTAAGCCCTTGAGAGCCGTAGGAAGCCCGCTTGTTATAACTTCCTACATCCACACCCTGTCTTCATCAAGTTCCGGAACCAGCTGCTATAGTTTCTGGGAACTGAGGGAGATAGATGTCCATGAGCCTTATGTCCATTCCTCCCCTTTGCGTGTCTGTCATTTTATATTTTGTGTTGAAGAGAATGGGGTCCCTTGTTTCATCCTGCCCTGCTAGCTTACACCCGAAATAATCACACAGAAACTGTATTAATTAAATTATTGCCTGGCCCATTATCTCTAGCCTCTTATTGACTAATTCTCACATCTTGATTCAACCCATTTTTTATTAATCTGTATGTTACCACGAGGTCATGGCTTACCGGGAAAGATTCAGCATGTCTGACCTGGCAGCTCCGTGGCCTCTCTCTCTCTCTCTCTCTCTCTCTCTCTCTCTCTCTCTCTCTTCCCTTCCTTCCTCCCAGAATTCAGTTCTATCTTCTCCACCTACCTATGTTCTGCCCTATCAGGCTAAGCAGTTTCTTTATTGATTAGCCAATGAAAGCAATACATAAACAGAAGGATCTCCTACACCATTTCCCCTTTTCTGCTTAAAAAGGAAAGGAAGGCTTTAACTTTAACATGGTAAAATTACACATAACAAAACAGTTATCAAGCAAAAATTACAGTTACAATATTTATATCTATTTTATCTTTTATCATAACAAAGGAAAACTATAATTATAACTATCCATTCTCCAACTCCATCAAAGACTCCAGAAGGATAAAATATTACCTAAGTAAACAGGAAGTGCATTGTAAGCAACTTCAAAAATTCTAGAAATGACAGAGACATCTCGGTGCTGGACAGGTTACCCAAAGTTCTTCTGTAACATTGGGGCATCCATCTTCAGCCTACAGGCCCATAGTATCCAGCAGACATTTCCATGAAGCAGGAAATTTTAAAGACAGTTCAGTCACTTTCTTCTGTGTCCTGCATAATGCCTTGCAGACTCTTTTATGAAATAGGAAGCCAGCCTTCATGTTACAGAATGGTGCCTACGAGGATAACTACATCCTCAAAAAGCCTGAGAAAGCTTGGGAAAGAATAGAGTAAAGCATGATTTTTTGGTAGCAGCAATTTCTCAGGTCTGCTCTGCTTGCTAGAGGCAAGCAAGCACTCTCATCTAAGAGAGGCTTCCTGACTCAGCTTTAGCTGTGAAACCTTGGAGCTCTTTTAAGAGGTCCTGCCACAAAACACTTAAACGGTGTTGATGAAAAGCTGAACGCATACTTTTTGGTTTTTAACTGTTGCAGGAAAAAAGCTGTACCATTTTAAAATGCCGGCTTTCTGGGCCATCCTGCCAGGGCAAACTCTGACTCTTTCAGGCAGGTGGTCTGACTACGGAGCATTTGAGTGTGGTTTGTTAGCACACTGTTGCAGCTTGCTTGCTGACAAGGACTTTAAAATGCAATAGAGTTGTGACAATAACTGTGGCTACAGCCAGTATCTCTGCCATGAGGCTGGAATTGCAGAAAACTGAGGAATGGGCTGGATCCAGCCTTCAAAGCCATATTGCTTGGTAAATTAAAGACTCGTGTGGTCAGAAAAAGAGAGATATACAGTAAAGAGAGAATCAAAGTTGAAGAAAACCTCTAAATAGTTTACTGTGTGTTAAAAATATATGTAGCCTTAAAAAATGGTTAAAGTCCTTAAAAAAGAAAGAGAGTAATTGCGTGTGGTGGTACACACCTTTAACCCCAATGCCTAGGAGGCAGAGGCAGACAGATCTCTGTGAGTTCAAGATGTGGTAGGCACACACCTTTAACCCCAGTACTTGGGAGGCGGAGACAGGTGGATCTCTGTGAGTTCAAGGACAGCCTGGTCTACAGAGGGAGTTCCAGCCAAAAGTACACAGAGAACCTGTCTCAAAAAGTAAAAGTAAAAATAAAAGAAATAGAGGTTAAAATAAAGCCACATAAAGATGAAAAATACACAGAGAATCTTGATACTGTATGCTATTATGCTCTCTTTGAATTGTTTGAATGCTGAGGAAGGAGCAACAACTGCTAAAAGATATTTGCTTATAAGTGCTGTTGAATTAATTCAAGATAGATATTTTGAAAATACCTTGACTTCAAAAGTGAAGCCAAAAGATATGTTACTTTGGAGAAGAGGTTTTGCTTTTGTTTCCACAGGAAATAAGAGGCTGTGGATTCATTCTGAGTTAAGAAAAATCAGGTTTGATCAAGGAAGGCCACCTGAGGAATCTCCGGTAGGAACAGATGGCCCAGATGTCAGAGTTCTGCATCCAGAACAGGTTCAAGACCGCTGCCTGAGATGATCAAGCCTCGCAGGATACTCCAGTCAGGACTCAATTATAATTCTAAATTTTCTTTAGGTCCCCATAAGATTATCAGCATCCCCAACCATCCAGAAGTAGCCTGAATAACTATACCCACATTCCCAACAAATGGACTATGGTTATTTTCCTTTGTTTAAAGAAAGCGGGGGGATGGTGGGGGACAATTCTGTATTCTGTCAATTACTTTTTAAATAAATGCCGATTGGCCAGTAGTCAGACAGGAAGTAGAGGCGGGAAAATGAGAACAGGAATATTCTGGGAAAAAGAAAGCTCTTCCACCAGTCCTGTCTCAACCACCTAAGAAGTAAGATGTGACCTGCCCTGCTGAAAAAGGTACCAAGCCATGTGGCTAACATAGATAAGAATAATGGGTTAATATAAGATATAAGAGCTAATACAAAGCCTGAGCTAATGGGCCAATCAGTTTATAACTTATAGAGACTTCTGTGTGATTTTCTTTGGGGTTAAACGGCTGCGGGAACCAGGCAGGACAGAAACCCCAACAAAACAGGCCCTTCATGTACAATTTTGTCTAGGTGTCCAAGATTCTCTGGGGATGGCAGCTGAGTATTCACACTTGGAGTCAAGGGTCCTACCCACACATTCTGTCCTCAGAATACTGCCTCCTTTCCTGGGCCCCTCATACATCCCTCTCCCCCAGGACTCCAGGCAAAAGCCTCTGCCAGGGATGTAATGCAGTGCTAGGTGGGGGCTGCCGACAAGGATATGTTTGTGACCTGGGAGCCATCTTGCAGCAAAAGAAAGAGCGGGAACAGGGAAAGACGGAACTGGGCAGGCAAGAGCAAGAGAGTCCCTCCCAGATCTGAGAGTCCTGTAAGTGGTGTCAGATCTGGTGAGGACCGTAGAATGTGTGGCCTCACTGCTGAGGAGAACATAACTTGCTTGGCGTCCAGAAAGAGATCTTCCACAGGCCTAGCTCTGGAATCCCGGAGACTGGCTTTGAGCATTTATCCTCACCAGCCCCAGAGTCCCAGGCCTGGGCACCTCCAGGACCATGTGCTCACCAGTGATCCAGAGGACTGGAAAGGTGGTGGAAAGGGGAAGCGAGGCTGTACCTGCTCATAGGCGCTGCCCTGAGGCTATCCCCTGAGAAGCTGATGATGGAACACCCAGTTTGGTGGAGCTGACCCCTTGGTCCTCCTTTTCCTCTGTTGAAAACTGGAGATAATAGCTGTCCCCCTCCCCTGAACTAATGGGAGAAGTCTCCCGAGCTGGCATCTTGTACCCCTGCAGCCTGGATAGATTCCTGAGTGTGTGTGTCTCCATCTCTGCTCCCCCACCTGTGCAGGGTCAGAAGCCAGCCCCGTTCCAAGATGTCCCAGGTGACAGCCACAGCAGTGTTTCACAAGGGAGCCAGCAAAATAGGACGCATGCAGGACAGAGTCACGGGGGAGGGGACACTGGTGGGAATTGATCTGAGCTGATTGTACCAGAGGCATTTCTCCAGTGCCCCAGCATCAGAAAGGGTCAGGGGTGGCCATGAGTAGTAGACAGAGCTCAAAGTGGGCATGCTGTGTGCCTCCTTTAAGGATCATTTTTCTGGAAAGGTTTTATTTAGGGGGTAGTGGTTATGTCCATGTGCAAATGAGAATTCCAAGAAAGCAAAGCCTCGGGGTTGGGGGGTGGCTTATCAGTTGCTGCTGCTCTCCAAGCTGCCCTGGAGAACATGAGTGACCATGGTCAGTATTGGTGTTTGGCTTGCTTTTTATATGTGTGTGCACATACATGTTTGGAAGGGTACACAAACAAGTGTGTGTGCATACATGCATGCACGTGCATAGAGGCCACAGGACAACGTCAGGTGCTCGGGTGTTGTTCCTCAGGTACCACATCCCTCCTTTTGTTTGGACCCAGTCAGGGTCTCTCGTTGACCCAGAACTCAGCAACTGTGATAAGCTGGCTGTCCAGCCAGCACCAGAGATCTGTCTGTCCTGACTGGTGTGTCTATGCAACACGCCAGAGTGGGGACCACAGTGTCTTTACGTGGTTTGTGGGGACCAAATCCAGACCCTGTGTTTGTAAGGCTCCACCAGCTGAACTGTCTCCCCAGCCCTGCGTGTTTGTTTTGAGAAAGGGTCCGGCTCTTTAGCTCAGGCTAACCTAAGTTTCACTAGGTAGTGTAGCAGGCTAACCTTGAACCTGCCATCCTCCCAGCTCAGCTTCCTGAGATCTAGGCATGTGCCACCTCACCCAGTGCTGGCAGAAGTGTTCAAGTGAGGCCGTTGCCACATGGTCCTCCCTTTCTTACTAACATCAGCTAGGGAGACTGAGGCCTTACTAGCCCAGCTGCCTGGCCGCCCCTTCCCCAGCTGGCCATGACCCTAAACTCAAGCATAAGGCGTTCTCCAACGTTAAGGGCTCTTTCTGATTTCTTACGTAATTCAGATGGAAAAGCTCCAGAAGGCCCCCACGGTGGATCTGTTCGGAGCCGGTATTCAGGGACCTGGATTTTTGACCAAGCTTTGAGATGTGCATCGGGTACGTGATGGCTGAGGGATGTGGCCTGATTGGGTCGGCATGGAGGGTGGGCACAGCTGGCCATGGCTGCCAGCTGCTACCCTGAGCAAACCCTGCTGGGATCTCAGGGCCTAAATGGCCAACCCCACGCCCCATCCGGCCATTGTGAGTAAATCCTGAGTCTACCCTCAGGGTTGACAGGACATCTGGAAATCTGGTGGTCTAGACTCTCTGGACCATTTCAGCAAGACTTCCTATGGGTCACTGACAGTCACGGGAGAAGAATGGTCCCACAACCATCTGTGTTAGGTACCTCAGTCCTTCCCGGCAGGGCTTCCTAGCCTCCTGCAGCTTTGTGTCTTATGTCTCCACCAGCACAGGGCATGTGCTGAGCCTTTCTCTGTTGGCTGTGAGCCTCCTCCTGCTGTGCATTCTAGAACTTTGGTTCTGAAGAAATCACCGGAAATGCTGGTGGTAGCTACAGCTCTCACTTCCTGAGTGCCTGCTGTACCAGGCCTTACACTAAGAACAGAGCTACACCGCTTCTCCTGGCTGTTGCTTCCCAGAGTGGAATCCTGGGGCTTTTCCTGACTCGTCTCAGGGAGTTAAGATTTAGACCTGGGTTGGTTGCCCTGACTGCTCAGTGAGGCCACTACTCTCGTGGGCTCCTCATTTCTCTGTCCATTTAATACCTTCTGCCCACAGGAAACTTAGAGCCCCGGGACTGAGGGCAACTGGAAGGTGAGCTTGGAAGTCCCTCCTGCCAGCGTACGGAGCTCATCTTTATCTGCCAGAGTTAGGGAGGTGGTCAGAGGCCTCACACAAGGCAACATGAATCCTCAGCTTTCCACAAACAGAAGAGATGGCTTGCCTTGAAGCCACTGGTTAGAAATAGTATTGACTCCGTAGACACCCTCCTTACTCCAGCTGGACCAGGGTCCCACCTCGAGCCTCCAGGTCCTCCTCTGGCTGTCACAACACTGTCACCAAGTTATCCCCAGGCTTGCTGACCTCTCTGCCCCCCCCCATTAGATGGAGGGCAGGGATCACATCTATTTCACTTCTGAGCCTCAGTGCCTGGCCACCGCAAATGCTCAATAAATCCTTGGTTGGTGGAAAGAAACTGGCAGAAACTGTTAGAGTGGGTGGAAGCCAAGAAGAAAGTCTAGAAGTTATCACTTGGTGATTGATGTGCACAGTAGCAAGCCACCATGAAGTACTGCGTCCTTGCTGTGGGCAGGCTACAGGGCTGAATGCAGAGAAATATGTGTGCTCTGTTGCTGTGTTTGTGTCTTTCCCAGTATGGCAGGGGTGATGTATATGCAAAGCCCTAAAAGGCAAACTGCTCGGTGCTGTGTGGCATTAGGATGGCAGTGGCCCTGAAGTAACTCACAGTAACACAGGCAGCAACCACTGCCTCTTAGAACAGTGCTTCTCAACCTTCCTCGTGCTGCAACCCCTCACTTCCTCATGTCGTGGTGACCCCCAGCTATAAACTTTTTGTTGCTACTTCATAACTGCAATTTTACTACTGTTATGACTCATAATGTAAATATCTGTGTTTTCCAGTGGTCTTAGGTGACCCCTTGGGGGGGGTCATTTGACTCCCCAGAGGGGTCGCAACCCACAGGTTCAGAGCTGCTGACTGCCCTAGTACTTCTGTGCCCGTGGCTCGTGTGCTGTCTGTGTGCCTTGCTCTCACTGTGAGAGGCAGGAGCCGCAGTCCTGCTGGCACGGGAGGAATCCAAGCCACAGACAGGGGCAAGGAGTTCTAGTGGAGGGGTGGGCTTGGCATATGCACTCTCCCAGAGTGCCCCACTGAAGAGTCTCGACTTCTCTGCACAGAAGAGGGAGTGGCCTTTAGCGATCGTGGTCACTCCCGTGCATCTGCAGGGAACGTGGCTCTTCTGTGTTCAGTCTTTCTGTTGGAGCCCTTGCCTTCTCCAGAGAAGACACTTAGGCACAGCCCGTGCGCGGCAGAGCTGAGCTCCTCCTGTGGACCTGAACTGAAGGAGGGGTGTGTCCCACCTTGACTGCTGGGTGCCAGACATTTCCTGAAAAGGCACATGCCTAGGCCCTCAGCCCCGGCAGCTTGAGTGTGACCTCTTCCACATGCTTCCTGACCTTGCTGTTCTAGAAGGTGGAAGCTGCGCCCAGGTAGCCTCAGGTCTGCAGGAGGGCTCAGCCCATCTCCCTGGGATTCCTGTCAGGTTAGATCCCGTTGGCTGTGTCCAGTCTCGCTTCCGTGGACTTTGTCCCAGGCTCTACATGGTGGGTCATTTTTGGGTCCCCTTGAGGATCAACCATTTTAGTTCTCTGCACCTGGGAAAAGGCCCAAGCAGCAGCAGAAGTCTCTCTCTCTCTCTCTCTCTCTCTCTCTCTCTCTCTCTCTCTCTCTCT